GGAGGTGTGGATGAAAGAATAGGACGTTTAACCTGGAGAAGACTGGGAGGTACCTGTCCATGTGGGGAGCTGTTCTTGAATAGAAAGAATATGGCCGATGTCTCCATATGGTCATGAGAGATGCTTTTCAGTGAATGAAGGGGCTGCCTCAGAGGGCAAGGGTCCCGTAAATGAGGCCGGATGGCCTGGTAGGTAAGCTGCTGAGGGTATTTTTGTTTTGTGGGGAGGCTGGATTAAGAGGCCTTCCAGTCAGGGATGTGCACTGAGTATTGTCAGAGATTCCTGGGTGGGGCTTTGCCACTTACTAGCCATGTGACCTTAGGCAAGTCACTTAACATCTCTGAGTCTTACCTGTCCTATCTACCAGAAGGAGGGAGGGTAACAGCATTTGCCTGCCAGGGTGGTTGTGAGATCTGTCAATTCGGGGGTACACAGTAGACCCTCAATAATGAATTAAACCCTAGATTCTCGGGCATGTCCTTTACCTTTGGAGAAGAGTTGGTACAGTACCTTCTGGAAGCCAAACTTCTCCTTGGAACTTCTTGTGGCCTGGAATGAGGGCAGAAGGAGAGTTTTTATGACAAAGGTGAGGACAGAGCACAACACAGCCCAGGCCAGGCTCCCGCCCAGCGGCGCCCTCCATCTCTCTCCCTAGTTACACCCGTGCAGTGGGAGGACAGGATCACTTGGACCCCAACACTGGGTCCAGAGCAAGCCCAGGGACCTAGGCCTTCTTCCTACCACTCCGATCTGGTAGTCAGACCAGAATATTCTGTGGTCAGGAATGACCTGTTCACATGCTCCCTCTTCAGTAAACGAGAATTGTGGAAGCGTGTTGACTTGGGGACGTGGCTTGGGTCAAAGGCATGACCATTTCCCAGGGAACCCCTGGACCTTCCAGGTGAAGGGCAGGGGCTGTTTTTAAGGGTGTTCTGCTGCCCTTAATCCAAAGTCCAGGGCTCTGGGTAGAGTTTGCTCAAGTGAAGTGGGTAAAATGTTTAGGGTAAAATGTCCTTGTCTCCTTCTGCTAATGAGTTCTGTGAGCCACCTCCACCTGGGGCTCCCCAGCCCAGGGGGACCAGCCTGGCATGCTCTGGGGGACAATTGAGGCCTAGAGGTACTGGGGCCGAGCAGGAGCCCTCACCCAGCACATCCATCATCAATATGGAAGTGAATGTGGAACAGTCTGGGCTCTCAGGACCTTGTATCTTTCTTTAGTTTTATTATCTGTAAAATCGAAGTGTTAATCCTCACCTAAATCACAGAGTTGTCCAATGAGCCAATAAGACAATGAAGTGAGAGGGCTTTGTAAATGGAAAATGCCCCTTGTGTGGACTTTGGGGAGTTCATAGCCAGAGAAGATTATGGAGAAGATCATGTCAATTCCATCATAGCCCCAATCCTTGTGGCTGGGGGGCACCACCTACAAGGCCCTTCCTTGCAGCTGGGCGACAAGGGGCGGGGGTGTGAGTCTCCTGGTGTTTGTCCAGATGTAGATGTGGGAAATTGCCAGCACTGGAGTGACTCAACCTCGGAGATTAGCAGCTTTCATCTGAAATCAGTCAGGGAAGGCTGGGCCCTTACTCTGTGTGGGTGTGTGGGAGGGGGCATGGAAAGTGAGACTATATCTGGATACCAGTTCTGGCTATCTTGCCTCATGACTTGAGCGTCTCACTTCCTCTCTCTGAACCAAAATCACTTCCTCCCTTCCTCTGAAAAAGAGGAGCTGGACCAAAAATCTAGAGGAGTGTGCATGTGTGTGTGTGTGATTCTTTGCAATCTTTGATCAAGGTGATGGCAGTGCCTGAGGCTGTTGTTCCAGTATCATTGGGTGAGAGCTGGGGACCGTGTCCACTACAGACTGGGCAGTTCAAGGGCCCCTCAGGAAACAGAGTCTCAGTCTTCTAGCCTGAACTCAACTTTGGGAGTGAGGGGGGCTTCAGCTTCCAGCTACTCAGTGCAGGTGGCGAGGTGTGCCCTGGGGTGGGGCTGTTGCCTTTTGCTCTGACAATATATCTGTTCTGAAGTCCTTCCTTGGCCCTAGACACCCCTTCCCTGCCCCTGACTTCCTGACATAAGTTGTGGTGAAGCTGTCGGCCTTGGGGGGCAGTGCTGAGCCTGAAAAAAGAGCTAAATGGTTCAGCCTGTGGGCGTGTGAGGACCTGAGGTGGAACAGAACTTCTTGGCTCCATCAGGATCTGTCATCTTTGAAGAGAGACATTTTTAAAGTTAAGGCCTCCCCTCACCAAGGTCCCAAATAAGAAACCACATGTCCTAAACAGCTCAATGGGCTTCCCAGGTGGCACTAGTGGTAAAGAACATGCCTGCCAATGCAGGCGACGCAAGAGATGTGGATTCAATCCCTGGGTGGGGAAGATGCGCTGAAGGAAGGCATGGCAACCCACTCCAGTATTCTTGCCTGGAAAATTCCATGGACAGAGGAGCCTGGAGAGCTACAGTCCACAAGGTCGCAAAGAGTCCGACATGACTGAAGCGCTTCAGACACATGCAAACAGCTCTACAACTTCTGCCAAGCCTTTGCTGAAGACATGGCCCACCATGGGGCTACAACTTCTGCCAAACCTTTGCTGAAGACATGGCCCACCCTGGGGACAGGATGGCAGTGAGCTGGCTGAGACCGTGCCCTTCCCAGCCAACAGACCAGGGCTTAAATCCTGACTCTGCCACCAACCCACTGCCTGATCTTGGCAAATGAGTTGCTCCAAGCCTTGGTTCGAGCTGATGCATAATTGGGAATGAAATATGTATTTCATAATGCCATGGCCTTCAGTTAGAGAAGAAGTTATAAGCTAAGCTCCTTTTAGAATTTATTGAGGGGGAAAGGTCAACCTTCTCCCTTCATCAGACAGAGATTTCACTAGGTCAGCTTTCCCAAAGCGCGCTCTGTGGGCTCAGGGTATGAGGAGATGCCGTGCAAACAGGAGAGCTGGTGCTGGGAGTTCATTTGGGCAGCACTGGTGGAGCCTAGATGAACAGCTGTGTCTGGGGCCGGGCTTCTCAGACCCTTCACTGAGCTGAGATGTCTTGGGATGCTCCACGTGTGAGCAATGTTTACCCTCACCCCACCCCTCAGGTTCATCTGACCAAGAAACTCTCTTCCCATAAGGCACACCATGGGACACATTTTGGGAAGTTTCCATTGCAGGCCCTTTTCTCTCTTAGCTCCCAGGAAGCTTCGGTCTCCATCTGAGGCCAGCACTGAGGCACCATATCAGGCGAGATCGTGGTATTTTTATACCCTTGCCTGCTCTATGGTGCTGGTTTGCTATTTTTGTTTTGCTGTACATATACTTTTTAGTGCAGGATGCCTCAGAGGCTGGGTGGAAGTGAGGAGACTGAGGGAAGCATCATCATAAGATAAAAGAGCCCACGTGAGGACCACGGACTGTTCCAAGCCCTTAGGAGCTATGGGCAGGGGCTGGGATGCTGTTTCAGCACTGCCACCTTTCAGATCACCCCTCGGAAGACTGGGACGAATGCAGCCCCTGGGGCATTTCTTCCAATTCTGATGATTTTGCTCTAGGCAATGAAGAAAGGAAGGGAAGGGTCAGCAAGTTTATGTCCTATAGAAACTGCTTAGGAAAGTTGAAGCAATCTTGGACCGGCCACTGCTGACCTCAAGAATGACAACTGTTTCTTAACTTAGCTGTTCTAAGACACACAGAGGCAGACAGGCTGTGGGCGGGAAGCCCTGGCTTTTGATGAGGTGTCTTAGGTACAGGTGAGCCAACGGGAGCTTGAGTCCTGCGGTGGCCAACCCAAGGGCTGAGACCAAGCAGTGTGATCCAGGGGCCTTCCCCCAGCTACAGGGAGCAGCCAGGAGCACCTCAAAGGCTGGCTGTGTCCTGCTTCCTGTAGGTGCCACCACTTCTTTCTCTGATTCCTGAATCCCCAGTAAATAGGTCTTTCTCTGTATCTTTCAGATGACCTATGTAGGTAGGTGGGAGGACTAGGATAAGGTGCTCCTGCTCCTACCCCTTTTGTTTCTCCAGTGTATTTTGATCTTCAGGGAGCAAACCATTAGTAGGGAGAGAAATCAATTTAGTGGGCTGTGACCAGCATTTTATAACATGAACTAGAATAGAAAGCATTAGAGTGCACTGGCTGTAGTACAGGTTTCATGAAAGATAGACAGGAACACAGACAGGCATGGGTTGTGGTGTCAAAAGCCACTGTGGCTTGCACTCGGTGACATCTGGAAGCCAGTGGCTAGCTGATTCCAGGCACTGGCACCAGCTGGGCAGGGCCCATCTGCTCCCGGCTCTGTCCTAGGCTCTGGGGCCCACTTCTAAGCTGAGCTGACCCTCCACACCCAGAGAAAAATGAATCCCAAAGAGACGTGCCCTCTACATATCTCCCCCTGAGATGCGTTTGCTGTGTGTGTCCGCAAACCCCGGTGGGGGAGTGGCTACTCCCCAGCAGCACCGAGGGTACATGATAACAGAGGCAGCTGAGCCTGAGCCTGGTCTCCATGGACAGTATTTATTAGGCGCCATTCTCGGTGTGAAGACAGATACACAGGAGGGGCTGAGGGCAGGCCGTGGCAGCTGCGGCCTTTGGGGTCCAGGGGCTGCCCGGGGTGAGGGTGTGGGCGCAGGGGCGTGTCACCCACATGTATTGCATATTCTGTGGCAGTGTGCCCAGGCATAAGGCATTGGGGAAGCAGAGAGGCTGCCTGCAGTGGGAGGGGTGAGGGAAGCAATTCTGGCCTTCCAGTTCGCTAGGAAAGACCCGGCCGGAGACGGAGTAGCCCACTCTGTGAGCGCCATTCGGCCTCCTTCCCCACCATCTCCCTGCAACTTTGGTTGTGGCTCCCTCGGGACTGACGGGACGGGACCCCTCGAGGGCAGGGTCACACACAGGACAGAAGCAGCTGGCACTGCCTCACCCCCCAACATAGACACAGAGGGCAGCCCCAGGTCCTGGGCCCCGCTGTCTATGGCACCTGGGCAGCCAGGTCCTCCCCACTGAGACAGGACTCACACAGACTTCCTCCCTCCCGGAGGAGCCCAGTGACTGAGCATGTGGTCGGGGTGGGGCTGGGGCTGATCGCCCTGGGGGCCCCCACTCCAGCTTCCCTGAATGCCAGGGCCGGCCCTGCTCAGCAGTGTTAAGGAGCTGGCATGGGCACAGCAAGGGGGGCCAGTCTGGAGGGGGAGAGGCCCCTCACCCACCCCTCGATGCTCTCCTGAGTCGCGGTCCCAGTTCCCGCTCTGGATGCCAACTGTGAAGAGCCTAGGATCGCACCTCCATCTGCTGCCCTCCACCTGGGCTTCCGGGTTGCAGGTGGGGCAGGCAGTGGGTACAACGGGGAGGGCTGTTCCTTGCTGCAGCTGTGGTTTCTCTCTAGCTCCTTGGGACACAGGTACCATCGCTGTCTGTGGGGCCAGAGATCATGTCCCAGGAGGACATGTCTGCGGCTCTCTAGGCCGCTCTGCCGGATTCCCAGATTCCTAGAGCCCAGCTCCTGGTCTTTCTTCTGTGAGTCCCAGCTTTGCTTACCCAGCCCTAAGGATTCCCCTGTTTGTATGGAGGAAGTTCAGAGACTGCGCGGGGCAGGGGTGGGGTGGGGGGAGCATCCTGCCCTGTGTCAGCAGCCCACTCAAAGCCCTGCCTCGTGGCCAAGTGGAGGATCGGCTGAGCCCAGCACGGGCTCAGTCCTGAGCTCTGGTCCTGGTCTAAGGCCCAGCTGCCCACCCAATGCCGGGGTGTGCAGGCCAGGAACTTCACTTGCAAAGAACAGGTAGAGGAGTCAGAAGCCAAGAGCACTCGGGACAAACAGCCTGTGTTCTTGCTCCCCTTTGCCTTTTGTTACCCGTGTCACCTTGGGCAAGTTGTGTCACATGTCTGGGCTTCAGTGCCATCTGTAAAACGGGGATGAGAACTCCTGCCCTGGTGACCTAACTGGGGGACGGGACAGGGGGAGGTTGAGAATCAAACAAATCGGTAGAGAGGACAGGGTTTCCAACTCACTCCACAGATCTAAGAGTCAGTGATTAGTAGCAGCAGCGAGGGACCACAAGGAGGAAGTTTTCTGTTTGATTCCAAGGGGTGTCTGATCTGGAAGGCTGGGTCTACCTGCAAGGATGTGCCTGCAGGCCAGTTAGCTCTCATCTACCAGGGGGACCATCCAGCAGACTGTTGGGCCCCTACCTCCCCCTTCCCTTCTCCACCCCTCCTGCAGCCTGCCTGCCCTTGCTTCCATCTGCCTGCCCTCTGGGGACTAGCTTTAGGGACTGCTGGGTTTCCATTTCCTTCAAAACTGCAAAGCCATGCAAAACAACACCAAAGGGAGTGGGAGACTGGGAGACACGGCTGGGGATGAGGAAGGGGAGTGGGACTGAGTGGGGGTGACCTCGACAAAGACACCCTGACTTCTGGAGCCAAGGGAAAGTAGGAGACCTGGAAGGACAGAGGTATAAATAGAGATGCAAACTTACACGGAACACTAATTTCCCTCCGGAAGGAGGAAGGGGAGGGGTTGGGGGGGGGAGTCTGGATACCAGCAGGGGCCTCTGCGAACTGGCGAGCTCCTTATTTTTCCAAAGGGATGGGAGGCTCCCAGCTTCTGCCTTCCCTCCTCGACTCCCCTCCCCCCAAGTTTCACATTTCTCGGAATTTGCAGGGCGCAGATGGGGACTCCGGGGTTCCTCAGAGCCCCAGCTCCTGCCGGCTGGTGCAAGCAGGCACAGTCGGAGATGGGGGCAGGGGGAGGGTGGTGAGGGGTGTAGGGGCGCCCCCACGGGGCCGAAGGCGGCTGAGGCAGCCTCTTCGCAGACCCCTGCTGCTTCTGGGGCAGAAGTCCCCTTCCCCCCCACCCCGCCCCACCCCGCCCGTGCTCCTAGGCGCTCCAGGCCCCGGAGGGGTGCGTTCACACGGAGCTCCTGCGCTTCATGAGGCTGCGGAAAGTGGACAGGCTGTGTAGGCCCGTGGACACGGAGCTGATGGCGGAGCGCTGCGCCCCGCTGCAGAGACAGCGGTGCGAGGGCGTGTCGCTGTAGCGGCCGCCCCCTCCCGGCGATGAGTGGCTCTGCTCGACGCACGTGTCGGACGTGGAGAGGTCCCGGGGGATGATCATGGGGATGGAGTACTGCAGCTTCTCGCGGCTCTTGTACCAGAGGCACGAGCACATGGACTGGAAGTGCAGCACTTCGGCGTAGACGTTCCGGAAGCCGCCGCCGCCGCCCGCCGCGGTGGACGAGGCGGTGTCGGTGGTGTGCGCGCTGCCGCCCCCGCCGCCTGCGCCGCCCGCTCCGCCCCCGCCGCCCGCTTGCCCGTTGCGCGTGAGCAGCGCGCGGTGCTCGGCGTCGCGCTTCTCGTCCTCCGCGTTCATGGTCATGAAGCGCAGCACCACGAGGTTGAGGAAGGCGCCGATGACCGTGAGGCCCGTGAGGATGTAGACGAAACTGAAGGCCACGTACTGAGGCTGCGTCTGCAGAGCCTGGTCCTTCTGCAGCGCCACGTAGTCGCCGAAGCCGATGGTAGTGAGCGTGATGAAACAGTAGTAGTAGGCCTGGAAGAAGGTCCAGTGCTCGTAATAGGAGAAGGCAGCGGCGCCGATGCACAGCGTGCTGATGCACGAGAAGAAGCCGATGAGCACCATGTTGGCCATGGACACGTCGGCGCGCCGCATGCCCAGCCCCCTCTTGGCCCGGTGTAGCAGGTACTTCACGAAGGTGTTGATGCGCTCGCCCAGGCTCTGGAACATGACCAGCGTGAGCGGGATGCCCAGCAGCGCGTAGAACATGCAGAACACCTTGCCGCCATCGGTGCTGGGTGCCGCGTGGCCGTAGCCTAGGGGAAAACGGGGCAAGAGGAGAGAAAGCACATGTTGATGGGGCTGCCCTTCCAGAAACCTGCCTCCCTTCCCCCCTGCTCTCTCCTCATCTTCTGCCACGGTGGTGCAGAGTCTGGCCTCTTTTTCCGGACAGGGAAGCCTGGGGCACTGCAGCCCATGAGGTCGCAAAGAGTCGGACACGACTGAGAGACTGAATTGAACTGAAGAAAACAACACATAGTTATGGGCGCATCCTTGTCCCCAGACACTGTGCTAGTTCTTCGCTGATGATTTTTCGTTTATTCTTCTGACCACTCCCTGGGGGTTCGTAAAGAGGAAGAGGAAGCAGGGAGGGTTAAGTGCCTTTCCAAGGTCACACTGTTTGGAAGCAGAGCAACTTGCCTTCAAATTAGAGTCTGTTTGATCAAAGACCCGACCTTTTTCTATACCCAGAAGAGGAGCTGACTGGTGCTGCTGTTGGGAACTTAGTCATGGATACCATGAAGAGCACTGGGGAGTCAGTTGGGAGACCTGGCTTCTAGTTCACTGCCTGTGGGCACTGAACCTGTTCCTAGTCCTCTCCAGGCCTGGGTTTCCTTCCTATAAGGGAGGAGGTTGGACTTACTGAGTTCTGACATCCTGGGATTCGATGTAAAGGGAGGCAAACTGGGGTTCCTTGGTGAGTTCCTTGCTGCCAGCTAAAGCGTGGGGTGTAGTTCCCCACTGGGGCTCCCAGAGGCAGCCAGCCCACTCGTGTCAGAGAAGGGGAAAGGAGACAGTCCCCTCCCCCCATGCATTAGTGCTCCATGGTCCTCATCAGACTCTGTTTGGGGCCCTGTGGTCATCCTCTGTGCCTGCCCCCAAAGTAGGGTCTGTCCTTATGGGGAGGTGGTGTTGCCTTTGTCAAAGCCAAGAGCCTTCCGTGTGTTACTATCACCAGGCAGGCAATCTCAACCCATACCATGCCGACCCTGCCCTTCAGTCCTTACCCAGCCAGGAGCCAGGCAGAGGCAAAGCCTCCCTCTGAGCCACTTATCACATGGCCTCAGTCAAGAGTTCTGCCTGGAGGACTTCCCTGATGGTCCAGTGGACAAAAATCCGCCTGTCAACGCAGGGGGCACAGTTTCGATCCTTGGTCCGGGAAGATTCTACATGTGTTGGAGCAACTAAGCCTGTGTGCCACAACTACCGAGCTGGTGTTCTAGAGCCTGCAGGCTGCAACTACTGAGCCTATGTGTTGCAACTACTGAAGCCCATGCACCTGCCTAGAGCCTGTGCTCCGCAACAAGAAGAAGCCACTGCAGTGAGAAACTTGATCAACACAGCAAAGCGTAGCCCCTGCTCACCACAACTAGAGAAGTCCGGCGCACAGCAGCAAAGAACTAGTGCAGCCAAAAATTAAAAAAAAAAAAAAAAGTTCTGCCTGGAGACATGGAGGGGAGAGGACCCTGGATGGAAACTCGAAGCCATTGGCACAAGTTCTGGCCCTGTCACTAGTGGCTGTGTGACCTTGGGCAAATTACTCCCCCTCTCTGAGTTTGTTTCCTCATTTGTAAAATGATGTCTGCTGGTCCTGGCCCTGCTTCCTTCACTGGGTTATTAAGATACTTATTACTTTTATCAACAAGGTTATTATAATAAAGTAATGCTTTCTATTTTCCCCTCCCTTCTCAGCCTTACTAAACTTAATCAAATGCTTCTTCTTCCCTGCAGCCATCCTGGATTGCTCACAGCTGGAAGTGATCCCTGCCTTGAGTGGCACTGAGTTCAGCTTTGAAGTCCAGGCCCTGCTCTGTCACTCAGGTCCCCCAACGACATATGAACAGCTAAATACTGACTTGGAGTCTGTGGGAGTGGACACTGCTGGACATTGTCATGTTCCTCCCTACCTACCCCCACTCCCACACACATTGCCAGCCAGGCCTGTGGAGTATGCCTCAAATTCATGTGATGAGTTGATGGCAAAGCGGGATACCATCTGCCTTGGTGTCTGATCTGCATGCAAATCCCTACTCTCCTATGGACTGTGTGTGTGTTTTGTTTGTTTTAAAAAACTGTCTGAGGGGGACCTCTCTGGTGGTCCAGTGGTTAGGACTTCTTCCACTTCAAGGGGCATGGGTTCGATCCCTGATTGGAGAACTAGGATCCTGCATGCCACTTGAGGTGGCCCAAAAATAAAAATAAAAAGCCTCCCTAGCCTTAGTTTCCAACATCTGTTAAATGGGGCTAATAACTAGCACCTGCATCACAGGGCTTTAGGGGAAAAATAAGTGAGAGAATGTGTATAAGGCACTTAGTATAGAGTCTGGTACATATCAAGTGCTCGATAAGAACTCCCTGTGATTAATAATGAATGAAGCACCAGGTTTCCTCCACATTTCCAAGAGATCACCTGGGCTGGTGGACAGCTCAGTTCCAGTAAAGTCAGCATCGCTGTGAATCTTAAAGCTTAGGGAGGTCTGGGGAGTGTGAGGTTGAGGGCTGCTCTCAGATTGGGTTCCCCTGCTCCCCAGCTATGGCATCTAGCTGGTGACAGTGTCATCCCTTGCCAGGGGCCTGAGCTCTGGAGTCGCTGGGCCTGGCCTGTCTGGGCCC